TGACAAAAATTGAAAAGAAGATGAGCAAATAATTTTCTGGATGATCATATTTTTCTTAAATTTTTACTTTAACTGAATAGTGTAAATTTTAGGTGAATTGTTTGGCTGAATATCAATCCAATCATTAACTTGCTTTATTTATTATCTTTTCAACAAAAAAAATGTTGAGATTTCTAGTTATTTATTCAAAAGAATTTGCTTCATTCAAGTTTATTTACAGTTTATTACCTTTCGAACTGAAAACAGGAAATCAATGCTATGTTTATTCCACCAATCAAAAACATTTGGTTTTTATTTATTATTAAGTTTTTTTTGCTTATATGATAAAGTTTTTAAATAATATTAGACCTTTCCAAACCACGATTACAGTCACTGCAAAAAAAGATGTTTGTCTCTGGAAGACACCTGGGCTAGTTTTTTAGAATCAGAGATCAGTTATAAATCCATGCATAGGTGTTAAATCCATCATGGTTTTCTGGAGTATGACTGGGCTAGCTTGGTGTAGTTCATAGATAAATCTTTTACGCTGGTTACTAACAATACAAGACTCTACTGAACGACATAAACAGCACAAACTTACACATTACATCTATACACCCTTATGCACATATATCCTGTTACTTCGTTTTGCATGCTTTTTGTTCTTTTTAGATTAACTATGTTTTCTTTAAACTCATCCTTATTTAGATGATATTTTCTTTTAATAGTGTGTTTTTAATGTGATTGGAATGTAGATACAAATTTGTATGTTAGGTATATGTAGTTATCATGTGCGATTAAGTTTTGATTTTAGGGTTCATATATATATATATATATATATATATATATATATATATATATATATATATATATATATATATATATATATATATATATATATATATATATATATATATATATATATACATATATATATATATATATAAACAAATATATATATATATATATATATACATTTTTGTATTCTATTATATATATTATATATATATATATATATATATATATATATATATATATATATATATATATATATATATATATATGAGAGGAATTATTTTAAACTAGCGGCTTTTGACGTGTTTTGTTGATGGACATCTTTTTGTTTTTGTTTTGTTATGGTCGCAAAATTACGTTTAATTCAGACCATAGAGAAAACTTTACTTTTTGAAAATTTCGATTTAGATATCATCTCAAAGTTACTTTTAATTCAGACCGTAGATAAAACTTTATTTCTAAACATTTTTTCCCGCTTCGTACATTGTTTCTATATCACGACTTATATTATTGTTATATGACCCAAAAAAAATTTTTAACCACTCATTTGGCTAAAATTTATCTGGTCTTATTACATTATTTAGTTAGTTTTATTACAATATTTTTTATATTTTTTTTAGCCACTGATTTTCATATTATTACTATTATCAAGGAATTTTTATGTTATATTATCTTACATTCATTACTTAGCTTTGTTTTAATTTACATATGCACAATTTTCGTCTTTTATTATTATTCAGAGAATTTCTTATATCCTTCACTTCATGTTTACATTTATGTGGATCATATTTTTAATGGTATTTTTGGGACGTTTTTTGTTGTTTTTTTCGCTATTATAAAATATTTTATTGTAATGATTTTGAGTTGCGTTGGCTGCTCATTTTTTTACAGTTTTAATTGGTTAACATATTTCAAATAAAGTATTTATGACAGCGTTAGAGTTTATTGAAGACTATTGTTGTTTTGTTGGTTTTTAAAAAAAATTTAACAAGGTATACTGCTTTCTGATTGTCTTGCGTTTATTTATACTAAAAGTACCAAATAGGTTTGATGTCTTAAAAATAAATTTATAAGTATTTTTGTGTTTCTATTGGAATTTTAATTTATTGTGTTTTTAATTTATTGTAGACGCGACTCTGAGGAGATGTTTATTACTTAATCACTAAACAAATTATGCTTCACATTAGCATTCATGTTTTTTTTTCCATTCTGAGGCCTTCCATTGTTGTTAGCATACTTTTTATTTTGTAATCAACTTTTTGTTTTATAAGTTTTTGTTTGGTGATATTTGTTGTATATCTATCATTCATTTTACTATTTGGGTGCATTGTCTGTCTTACTTATTTTTATTATTCCTCTATTAATCTTTATTTTTATCTTGACAACTGTCAAAATATAATTTGTTCAAAAAATAAATCTCTTTTATTGTAATGTACGTTCACTGCTTGAGTGTGACCATTCGACAAATTTATATGCCAAAGTTTTTAAATAAAAATTTCATTTACAGATTATTATCTTTCGAACTGAAAACTGTTAGGGTGGGGGCTATAGCCCCAGGCTCCACAAATTTAGGGGCCCCCAAAAATTTTAAAGGACTATTTTTTCTTTTTTTTCCTTTAGTTATTTTCAGGCTCTGGTCTATAATAAAGGCCTTCAAAATCAAAAAAAGCCCTGGGCCCCAAAAAGTCTTAATCCGCCACTGTATATATATGTGTGTATATATATA